AATTGCAATAATATTTTCGACGGCATCTACGAAATTCTCTTGAGAGACTGCACACGACCTCCCTGACGTTCGTGAATTTTGCTCCGAAATTAATAATTTCGCCAAAACTCCTCGAGAATAATTCTCGAGAGAAAGAACTTCCAAAACTCGCTCGCGACGAGTTCTGTAATCATTGTTGATGATCTTTGCTACCGTGTTGTATTCCTCTAAAATGTATACCTTTCAGGAACAACAAGGAAAAATTACGAACTTGGGATATAACTTTTAATCGCGTATAGTGTTTCGTCATTATTTAAAGGGCTACATATTTTACGCTTTTTTTTTTAAATCGAGCGAGAGATCCTTACAGGATACTTCTCCATCAGACTGCGCGTCCTGGTGACCTGGGTCACTTTGCCGTCGAAAGCCTTCTTTTCGGAGGCGCCCGCCCTCTTGCAATCGGCATCGACCTCATCCTCCGCCAGCGAGCTGAGACTGTTGTACCACTGTACGCTGCTGGTCCTGTAGGGCTGCCTCGAGGGCTCGTGGCTGCGATGGAGGTCCTTGCTGAAGCTCAGGCTTCGCCTGATCGGCTGCAGGCCGCGATTTATCGCCGCCGGTAACTCGGCGCTCCCTCTTAACAGAGCGCCGAATTTCCGACGGAACGACGCACGCCGCTCGAGTTTCCCGCTCGAATTGTCCGCGTCCTTCGACGAAGTTTCCTTCGATGACAATCTCTTGGAGGATTCTTGAGACATGCGACGATATTAACGATCGAAACTGCCATCTTAAATCTTACATGTTGCAAAATAACTCGAAACGCGCGTTTTTTTTTCTCATTCAGGCCCTAATGTATATTTGAAGATTAAAAAACTTTTGCGCCACTTTAAACACATTTTTACTCCATGAATTTAATGAAACGTAATTCTAATTATTTTTATTAAAATAAAATAATCTAATAATTTTTATTTTAAATTGTTAGTAATTTTGTTATTTCATTTTAGGAAAGTGTTAAGTATTGAATTTATTTACATTAATGTTTGAAACATTCAGTTCCTTGACTTTAGAATTTCTAATTCTTTCAAAAGAAATTATTTTGATGCAATTATTTTCAATTATCTTCATCAAGAGATACGCTCTTTAACGACGCCACGGATGATTCGATTTCTGATAAGACGCGGCTATATCGTAAACAATTACTTTCCTAACTCTTCGACGTTTGACGGAAAGCAGCGTTAATCAAAGACCCCTAGGCTAATGCCTTTCGTATATCGAGAATTTTGCAAAGTGTGATTAATATCCAGCGCTCTGCGCACCTGCTTCCGGTTTCGCTTGCTTGCATTCCTTCACGGGGTGGCCCGGCTGCGTCGCATTCGCGCTCTCGTCATTGCAATTCGTCGCTTTGTAGCCCGACTTGCCCTTTCTCAAGGACTTCTTCGCTTCCTTCTTCAGCGTCATCTTTTCCCGGATTTCGCACCAAGATCGATCGCACTTTAGACGATTACACTCGTTACGCACGTCGTCACGCGACGTGAATGACGATTCGTTTATTCGTACTCGATGACCGAGTCGCATAACTTTCCCCAGAATCGCGCACAACACGTCTTAGTTGTAATTGCGCGCACACATACACATAAATACACGGCGAACTGTGTCGTTAAACGGTTATCATTGCGATAACGTGTTATCGTGTTGCAGCACCAACGATATCGACTGTATCGTTAATATCGCGTTCACTCACGCCTTTTTACTTTCCGTGTATTCAGCAAAGCCTGGAAGTTGAGATAAAATCGATCGCGCCGTTAAGAAGTTGAGAACTTTCTTAACCGCCTTTAAGCCGCTGAGCCGATTTACGATCCTCATATCTGCCACTGTTTTTTTTTTTTAAATGCTCTCCTACCGTATTTTTAGTCGATACATCGCGCAATATTGCGGAATTGAATGCGTGCTTCTTTTGTGAAATGGAAAATACTTCCATTATTCCGTAGCGTCATTTTTCGGATTTCATGAAAAATTTTCTAAGTTTTCAGTGTTTACGGAAAAAAAAAGAGAGAGAGAGAAAATTATCTCGTTTTAACGTTACGAAAAATAATTACGAAAATTACAGCTATTGTACACAGCAAGAAAATTTGTCTGTTTATCAAGAGAAAATTGTACGACTCATCCTTCATCATTGTTCTCGTTATCACCATTATGTTCATAATTTATCTCCTGGTTCCAATCGAGTGACCAATTACCGAAACAAGACTTGCTACTCTAATAGAAGGCGCCGCTTATCGCGATGAAGAAAAAGGTCGACGTTTGCTCTACATTACCGAATAAAAAATAATTCCAACATTACCGCAAATGTTGTACGATTTCTTTTTAAAAATTAATTCTAATTTCGAACAAGAGAAATTTTCATATCTATGTGCAAAAAATCAAGTCAATCTAATTGCTTGCTAAATTCTTGAAAAGCTACCCTCTTCTCTCTTCAATTTTAAAAATAGAAAGTCTATGTCGTTATAAAAATATCTATTCTTGATTTATCCATTTTCCTAAAAATAGTGCTAAAAAGTTTCATCTCAATAATTTGCAATATATTATCTTTCATACTACCTGACATTAGCTGTGTAAAACGGCACTCAATTACACCCCGCAAAATTAACGCGCCGCATGTTATAATAACTACTATCACTAAAGAGTGACAACCTTGAACACCAAACAATATTTCCGCATGAAATAGGCCGTAATTTCGACAACGTTCCGCTTATTTCCTCTCTCACAGTCGAATTATCGAAACAATACTTTTTGAGAGAAGAAAAGTAATTGCCAAGAGAATAATTATTGTTTCTGGGATTTTCATAGTTATGAGTCATTATACTTATTTATTTTCAATCTTATATAAATATCAAACCCAAGTATTTTTAGTATTATGGCTGATATAATATATTTCGCGAGACATTTATCATTTCCGACTTTTCGCGACTTATCATTTCTCGGTGTGGCCTCAGTAGATCCTTATCAAGTTTCACATACTTTTGTACGCCTTAGGCTCTCTGCTTATAACACCGTCTACATCGTCTACGAATAAGGGCGGTAATCAGCGCCGGTTATCACGCGCCTAATTATATCCCGCGCCGTCCCTTCGCCGCATTCCTCCCGACTCCGCAAAACATATAATTCGCGCGGCGTCCAACATTAGCATGATCACGGCTGAATTGCGCGGTCGAATCCCGTATATCTGGAGCGCGTAATTTACGCGCCTCGCGCGTCCGCGTATGCAATATCGCGGTATTATCGCGAGAAAACGGATTATAAGACCGCGATTAATCCCGGCCCGCGATAAGCCCGCGCGGACTGCGCTCCGTTATCAGGCGGTTCCCGCATGGCGGGTTCACGGGCTGCACGCGATAATAACGGGTCGCGCGGACGGCGGCGGGGCGGCCAATTATTGTGCGCCGGAATAAACCGCGAGAGAGGTCCTTAGACGTCACCGCTTAATGCACTCGAGTGCCGGCCGACCGTGTCTTTGGCAAATATTTGACGACATTGCTCCGCGCTTAATCGCGACGATCAGATCGCGACCGAAGATCCGACTTGCTCGGATGGATTTCGCGAAGAACGGTATCTATATCAAATTTCTTCGAAACTTCGACGTTCGCGCGACGCATAGATTTTTCAGTATTTTAGATTTAGAACATTGAATACGTACGTTTTTCCTTTCACTTTCAAATTTACCGTGCGTATTACTTTAGTATTAAATCCACTAAACAATCTAGAATTCGTGTTTCAGATTTCAGAATTCCGCTTATAATTTTTAATCACGTGTATTTTGATATATGTATGCATGTGTACGTTAATATATATTGCATTTTTTATACGTGCGTATTTCTAATTCTTCAAATATGTTTCTTTTATTACACGGCACGTATAATTATAACTAGAATTTTATTCTGGAGTTCTACGCCAATTATAGATCTAAAAAAAAAGACAAACGAGTGGTATTTAACATATCAAAGATAAACTCAGGGTCACATTCATTATTATCTCTTATATTTTCCTTAATTTATTAAAGATGACGTGACTTATCTTTCATTTCCAAGTTCAAAAATTTAACAAGTGTAATCATATCAAATTGTTAGAATAGGTTGATAAATATATTTAGATATTTTTTTCACCTGTTTATTGCAACGTCTACAGATGTAAAATATATATATATATATATATATATATATTAGTCGCGTTCTCTAGAACAATAAGTAGAAATATATTGTGTATTTTCCAAGAATCGGAGATAATATGTTATCACGCGATTGTCGCATGTATATTATGAAATTATACGTTATGTGTTACATAACATTTTATACTGCTGGTGCACAAAGTCTGTAAGACTAGATGAATGCAGTTGAGTGTGAGTAAAAAAAACGTAGTTTTAAAATCGATTGAGTATGGCTCGCGAGCGATTCAATGCGAGTTAAAACAAAACGTGCGCAAAATGTGATTTTAATTGATCGAGCGTGACATTCAACTCTTTCTTGTGAATACCCGTGTAAAAGTGCAAGCCCACGCAGCGAAATTTTGACGAGCACTATTTTGTCGAATCAATTGGAGATGAGTCACCGGAGCCCGACTGCAATTTGACACACACCGACGCAAATACTAATGTGAGATTGAATTCATTAATTCGATAACCATCTGCGGATCCGAATGTACGATTTATACGTGTGCGATAAAAAGGTTCAATTTAAAAAGCCATTTGGCCAGACCGCGAACGCGTAGCGTGCAATATAGTTTTTCTACACTGAACATTCCTTTTAATCTAGATTGCCATGAAAATTGAAAATTTCGTCGCATTGAGAAAGAAGTTAACACAATTTAACGTAAGTTAACGCAACTTTTTATATTACCGATTATCGCAGAACAATTATTTGACACTTTTAATTATCATTTCGTGACACTCCGGTTAGTCGACCTCGATAATTATACCAATCACTCCAACTCGACACAATTCGCGTTGTTTTACACAAACGGCCACGAGACACAAGTTGACCTGCGCGTTTCACCAGTATAATTCCGTCAATTAAAGTTTCTCTTCCGTCGCGGTGTACCGAGTCGATCGCGCCGTAAAGTCGGCCAAGGTTACGGTTTATCGACAATCGTACGACACCCCGTGCAGGCAGAATATTCGATTGCTCCCGTATTACGTTTGATTCGTAATGGCAACGCGAATCTTCGTTTCTCTCTCTCTCTCTCTCTCTCTCGTTGCGCCGGCCGACCATTTTTTACGATCACTTTTGCATGGCTGCATAAACACGGAAAGGGCACAGATAACGCGTGATTTTATTAGTTCAACTTTTCCTGCCGCAAACAAGATGCCGAGGAAACTTCGCCGGCAAAAATCCACATCAAAGGATACCGCCCGAGCGAGATTGCCTATTAAATATCGCTCAATTTTGTCGCTCGGTAAATTTTCTAGGATTCGAAATATAAGCGGCGATCAGTGGCATAAACGTTGCTTTTACTTTGTAACATCATTTAATACGCTTTTAGACAATTTACGCGTATGATATTGCATGACATTATCGCTGCGATGTTTAAAGCTTTCATATATACTGATCTCGATTCTCTCCGGATCACGGGAAATTTCTCCGTGAAATCCGACCGACGTTGACACTCGTCATATTTGTACATTAATTTATTATCATTATTCTGCACGCACGACTGTTATATTATTATATACGACTATCATATTATTATTTTACGATCAGTCGCGCGAGGGAAAATAACATCTGCGCTAATTTTATATTTATCATCAATGCGAACACCTCGCGATGCTCCGGTGATTTAAGCCTGCATAAAATCCGCATAATCGAGGTACGCAATCACTGATACTTTCAATAATCCTCTCCGATCGCGCGTATAATTAGTCGGAAAAATGGGGTACCGGGACGAGCATTTCGTTATACGCGTTCCGCGAGAGAATTCGTCGATGTTTTTAATTGAGCAGAGTTATATGAGAATTATGAGGATTTTCTATCCGCGGAAATCCTACCGTCATCCCGATGCGAAATCGCGGCGCGCTCACGTCATACGCACACTCGCGTTTCCGCACTTCACTAGAGTAAATTCCGCCGCCTCTAATCAAGCCTTTATTAAAGACACAGCTCTATGAAGCTAATTTCACAAGATAATGAGCACACCGAGCCGATCCAAGGCCGTTCGTTATCGCCGTGTATACATGTGTGTGTGTATGTATGTGTGTGCGTGTGTAGTTGCATCGTAATATTCCACTGGCACTAATTCAATTTACATTACATGCACATCGCGATCGATAACGAAAAGCAGCCGGAGTTCTCGGCGGAGTTCGCGATTTTTCCGCGTTTCTTCGTCCTGCTCCGCCGTATCGGTTTTCTTCTTGGCTTCGTTTTTTCTCGGACGACCGGTGGAGCGGAACGGTGTGACACGCGACGATAAGACCGCGCTTCGGCAACTGACGAAGGTGCCGCTTCATTATTGGCTCGGTATTACTGGTGGCTGATAACGCGCCACGTAGCTGATAAACAAACGAAGCGCGTCGAATGAAAAAGAGATAAAGACGGCCGCACGTGAGATCGCTCGTTGAGCTCTCATAAAGTGCCGGTTCTCTCGGAGGACAAAGGGGGGGATTTCACTGCGAATTTTTATTACATCTATATCACCTGCATCATATTTGATCCTTTCGAATCGTTTAAGTATAATCGTACCTTTATGGGAAATGTAACAAGATGCAGAGGATTTTTTTTTACATTTCGTGCACCTGTTTTCCATATCAACGAGGATGAGTTGTTAAGATTAACAGTTGCGATTGCGAATAATTAGCGTTTAATGTACGTTTTGTTTATGCAAGGAATACACGCGAACCCGCTAAAGGTTGTATTTTTAATCAACGAGCCGATAAGACTTGTTCCGCGGAAGTGCTCCACGTAAAGCCGCCCTCACGATCCGAGGAATAAATTAAACGCGAGGGGAAGTCCCCCGCTCTCTTCCCGCTTTCTTCCCGAGTCGCGCTTCGCCCATTTCTTTCGCGCCAGTCACGGCGATTCTTATCGTATTATCTCATTTTCCGCCAACGCGACGGCGCGGGCGGATGTCGGTCTAATCGGAGCGCTTCGATTTTATTATCTCCGTGTGCTACCTCCAACACAGATCAATCTCACTCACTTCAAAGCAATGGAATGCTGTCACAACAACGTTTTCAACGCTCACTCAAAAGCAACGAAATGCAATATAACGCATGTATGAAAGTTAATCGATCTAATCTGACCTGAGAATTCCAAAATTACATCTCGATTAAATAACGATAATCAAAACCAATTTAATCAATCAAATTTGACGTTAATATCACTTTCGCGACGCTCGATGAGATCGACAGGACGATTTCACTCCCGCACTAATTTCCTCTCACCATGTTGCTTATTTTCCACTGTTTCCTCCCCTAGCCAACTCAATTTTCCGCGTGAATTCGCGGTCCCCCCGAGCTGCTAGACCCACGTCAGATTCTCCGCGATAATCGAGACTTCGAATCATTGATCGCGCGAGAGAGACAATCGAGTAGACATCTCGCAAGATCCGCCAGCGTGTGCGCGCTCGTATCCATTGGTTAAACGTCTCATCGTTACACGCGCGACAGCGCGACTTGTCGGTCCCCTCGCGCGCGCTTCCGGTCACGGGCGAGCGCCTCGTCGCGTGAGCGCAAAAATTGCGGCGGCGGACTAAGCAAGAAATTAAGGAGACAGGTGAGGCGAGGTTCGATAAAGCGGTTTCTGCTGGCTGCGGGCGGGAGAGACGAAGAGGGGGAGAGAGAGAGAGAGAGAGAGAGAGAGAGAGAGAGAGGGGCACGTGAGAGTGCAGGCGCGAGCGGGAGGGAAAAACGCGAATACGAGCCGTTCGACGAGGACAAGACACGCTCCACAGTGTGGAGAGGGGCACTACTGCAGTGGCGCTCAATTATACAGCCGCAGAGGCTGTGCTTACACGGAATCGGCGAAACGATTACGTGAGTCATTGCCGACTCGGTGCTGTCTGGTTCGGCATGTCAGCGAACGTCGTGAGTGGGTCCTGAAGTGGGAACCTCAGTAAAGACTCCTTTTTAGAGATGAAAAAGAAGCGAGAACTGAAAATGTATAAATACAGAGATGCGCCACAAAGAAGAGAGGATTATAGGAGAAAAGTGAGGAATAAGTTTGCTCGTCAAGTGGATCTTGGAGATTTTTTTTTTTCAGCAATGAAAAAGTGAAAAACAATGTTACCTAATATATTTGTACGGAAGCAAAAAATACAAACTACATTTAAATGCATCTTCTGTTATAAGACTCTTATACGGTTTTACGATATCGGATATGATATCGTAATTCTTCCTTACGGCTACGCGTTTGCTGCTGTTCGTTTATCGTTTATACGGGATGCAGCAAATCACGGGATCGCAAATCAAGTTCCGAAGTTAAGCACCCGGCTGTAATTCGCGATTTGCGCAGACTGTTGATCCAGTCGTGCTCTACGTTAATTGCTCAGAAAATTGTCCTGTTTGTACTGCGAGATATCGGGATTTTCAGCCTTAATTAATTGAGAACTCAAATTACGTTTATTTAAACGCCTCGCTAACGCATTTCAAACGTATCACGCCTTGTATCGCGCATACCTGTCGCGTTTCCTCAAGTCGGAGGCTCGGTTTCGCATTCAATTAGAAGCGTTTGATTTTACGGACCGTGGACTTGGCGATGGAAGGAGCGGGAGCAAAGCCGGCGGAAACCATAAATTTTCCAAGCGCTTGTAAAGTCTAGTTAAAACCCGTCGTATCCGACTCCTAAGACGAAATTCACGAGGAGTTCTTTCATCTTTCTTCTTTCACGCGACTTTTCGAAGAGCGCTTGCAAAGTTTTTAGCACGCGAGCACTTTGTCGCGTTAAGTCCCGATGAAGTCTATCGGCTTTAAGTGCAGTATTAATGCGATAACATAATAAATATTTCCTCGACGTCGGAATAATTAATGCGCACTTGTAATAACGACGTTTCCTAATTCAGGAAAACGATTATTAATTACGCCGCTAACTTATATCGGGGGTGAAAATGAGTTTCACGCGGCGAAAAACAATTTCGAGTTAGATGTGATAAATTAAAGTAATGCATTAGTCGACAAAGCACCACGTAATTCTCCTGAGTGTTTGAATACTTTGACTATATACGCGCGGCAAATGCCGAAGAGGAGAAATAAATTTGCTGGCGCGACGCCGTGTTCCGGCGTGTAGCACCGATGTCGAGGTTTAGAGTGACATGCCAAGGAAAAGGTTGTCGAAGCCAGCGCGAGCGCTGGTGAAATTGACAACGTTTTGAGAAAAAATATTAGAGATGATTCCCGTTTCATATCGGAAATTCAAATATCCGAATCAACATCGCGATTCGATTGAACCGCTACTTGATTATTTAATAGAAAATTCCCGACTGTATATATATTAGAAAAATTATATCTATTCCACGAATAATAAGTTTGATAATGATATTCCAAGAATATTGATTTTTAACTATTTATGAGCACACTAGATTCCCAATATTTGCTACCATTGCGGATTCTTCGGGACATAATGTATATTTAACAATCGTTAAACCGTTCTTCCGCGTAAATTAAGCTTACATTAGTGTTCGACCGCGCTGAATTAAATATGTAATGGTAGCCTGCGTGGATTATCCAGTGGCCAAACTGGTCGTTTCACTTTTCCACTTAATCGCGAATTGTTCCTCAGGGGTTCCGAGCTTTTGATGCCCTCGTCTGCAATTCAATTATCTACGCGTTAAAACGCGATAAAACGCGCGCGTGAATGCGCGTGTTATCTCAACGGAAATAGTTACGTCCCTGCTATTAGGGATACCAATAGGGATGCTGACAATGCGTCGGATTTATTGCCGACGGCAGGGAGAGATCTTTGATGTACTTCGGCGCGACCGTGAAAGTCGTGGGCGACCGGTTTCGCTTGCAATTAGCAACGATTTCCTCTTGTGGGAAATAAATTACCCATTCACACCTCGCTAACTCGGTTTCAATGGTGTGCTCTGAGACAGGTGATCGCTATCGCGAGCAGAGTTTCTGGTAATTTGCACAATGCCTTCGCCATTAGAACGGCGATTTGGCGCGTAAGGAAATTGTAAAATCCGACTTTGATGCACGAGGCACGCCGCGGATCTTTAATCACCTTACGTGCTTCGCGGCCCGTCCCACTCTTGCTTATTTACTGACTCGTTTCTCTCTTTAGAATGTCCTTTATATTTTTATTAACTCGGACAGTCTCGCATTTGAGATACTTTTTGCGCGATATATTTTTTTTTATGCGCTGCATTAACCCAGTCATAGTAGTATTTATTATTATGAGAGCGATTCATAATTACGATTCGTAATTACGATCCATAATAAGATTATGATTTTTAATTTTCTCTTTTATGTGTAATTATATATGTGGAAGAGAAAATTTTCATTTAAATAATGATAGCTGCGTCGTGTCAAAACCGAGAAAAAGCCTTGTAATGTTTCATTAATGTAAAATGGATATCTTGTTGCATCGGCATAATTTAACGTGTTGTAAACCATAATTCGAATCGTATTTCAACGTAAAAATCTTTTGCATACAAGGTTAAAAAAATTTAAGCTTGAAAATTCTTTTGCAACTACATGTTTGCTGCCACTGTGATTTTCCTTTAAAGAAAAACAAACTACAAATTAATGAAGAGATACTATCTGTGCGTATATTTTGAAAGAAATTCTGCACAAGAGCCATACGTTTCGTATTCCTACTTTTGCATTTTTGCAGAAGCAGAAACGCGTTACTGCGTCCATTTATATTCGCGAGTCTCTCTATATGAAAAAAAAAAATTGTATCGTCCTGCACTTGACGCACAAGAAATGAAAGATTGCATTCGCATCGCTCTCCCGTAACCGAACCGCGTATCCGGGGCTTTCGTATCGCAAGAAAGTTGAGAGCGCTGCCGCGCTCGTTTTTCGCCACGAAGCCGCGAGATAAACAGCGAGGAACCGACCGGCACGAGACGGAGGTAAGCTGATTACCCGCGTCGGACGAGACGCGCGTGACCCGCACCGAGGATATGCGGAGGAAGTTCCCAAAGTTTCATTTCTACGTGCTATTCGCGATGCTATTTGCATGGGAAACGCGCGGCGTCACTGCCCCACACCCGTAATTCGCATAATAAATGGCGTAATGAGTCCCTGCCGGCACGTTAAATTCCCACGAGCGTCGCGGTTTGGGAGGTCAGCAGCTCGTCTCGCAGCGAGTGTCATACAGGGAGGACGAACGAAATCTTCTCGACCAAATGGACGAGCAGCAATGTCGCTGCAAGCTGTCATTTTATACATTTATTAGATGAGTTATTAAACACGATTCATTCTTATTTAATGAAGGAAACTGATTTTCTATCGCAAAAGCAAAAATTGGAAAAAAAAAACTCTAAAAATGAATCAGTGGAATCATCACTGATTTTCAGTGTATATTATTTTCCAATGGCGTATTTTGAACTGTGATAAGCAATGACTATTTCAATATTGTTTCAGTGATAATATATTGATTCAAACAGTGAATATCACTGAAAGACAGTTCACTGTCAGTTTTAAGAACTGAAATTCACTGTCTTTCAGTGGTATTCACTGTTTGCATGAGTATATTATCGCTGAAACAACATTAAAATAGTCACTGTTTATCACAGTTCAAGTATACTAAGGAAAATAATATACACTGAAAATCAGTGATGATTAGACTATTTTGTATATGTGCAAGAAAAATTATTCCGCTTGTATAATTTTTATTATTTAATATTTGAAACATGTATACACTTCTCGTTCCTTCAATATTTTATCGTCAAATTAAAAAATAAATTATTATTACTGGACATTCAAAGATTCTGCGAAAAAAAAAAATGTTGAGACAGTACGCTTTTTGACAGTCACCAGTTGTGGGAGTAAAGTTAAACGTCCGTCTCAGGGACGTCTCGAGAGATCGCCTCATTGTCAGTGAAAGATATTTCTCGGAATTTCCTTTGACACGCGTAGTAGATCCTCCTTCCAATGGCCCGATCAAAGAACGAACGTGACACGGAATATTAAGACTGTATGTCAACCATGTGCATGTGATCCCGATTTATGGAAATTCGCCGGACAGATCCTTCTTTTTATCTGTCTCTCACCGAAGACATTGGCCACGAATAGGCTTAATAGCCCCAGACAAAATATGCATTCCTTCTTTTTTTTTCTTTTCAGCCGGTCTTTCGAACAACGTGCTTTGAGAGACATGAACGCAAAACAAAGCCATTCAAAAGAGACACTTTATAAATACAGGTATGAGGTTCCTTTCTAGCCTAGTGTCACAAAATAAATTAATTTTTTTTATTACATGCTGAATGAAAAATATCTTTCAAAAAATATCCTTGCTTAAATCTAATTCAATTTGTATAATTTTTGATGAACATATAATTGGATATTACAGAAATGGTAATGAATATAAAATATATGGCTACTGATTTTATTGCAAGCAATTAAAAATTCTTATTATAAGTAAATTTTAATGACTTTTATAGACAAATTTTATTTAAATTAGTTTAAATTTAAGGTAGTTTGAATTTATTTAAACTAATTTCGAAAAAAAAACCGGGAAAAGACTCATAAAAACATCTAAGAACTACTACTAAGAACACGATGATCATTGAAAAGAAACAGAATTGCGTTAATTGCCAAGTTTGCACGTAATGCCAATTCAGGTAGAGAGTCGTAAAAGCGATTTTACTAAACGGTACATAGTTTCCTTGACATCCTTAACTGCCTCCTTAAGGTATCCAAGACTGACGGCGTGAATTATGGTAACGCACTTCTCACGAATGAAACACTTAACCTGAATATATTTCGTCTTATGCTAAATTCAAATACAAGTACTTAACAATTTTAAAAATTATATTAAATGAAAGATGTTTAAAGCGTTCGTTATTTTAAAATTACAGATTTCTTAGCAAATATAGAATAATCTTCATCTAATAAAAGTTCAATTGAGTGTTAGTGTTTTCACAATATTCCAAGATTTTAAGGATTTTTGTAAATGAATCTCAAAGCATAAAATTCCATTTAAATAGAGCTTACCTATTAAGTAAAATAAAAAGTATGACAAAAAAATAAAAATGTTATATGTTCGCATTCCTTTTATAATTATCGATATCCTATCAAAATTATCGATATCATGACGTTACCTACTTTGCAGCTGCCCATTGTGTTACGTCTTTGTAACGTCATTTCAATTCGTCATATTTTTCTCATAGTTCATAAACTAATCAGCATTTTCATACTATAATTATTTCCCAGCGATCGCGCATGATTATACAACAATACAAATTATTTTCTATGCAAATGTGTCGCAACGACGCTTGCCAACTCGATGAAAACTTCCTACGACACGGATGTTACCCAATTAGATACTATTATCGTCGAAATTCGCCTATCACTCACATACACTCAAGTATATTAACGGTATTTTCGCATCCGCAAATCTCATTAAATGCGACTAATACGGATTCTTTTCATTCTTCGCGAGAACGAAACACGTGACTGGCAACACGTGCAAGCGAGAAGCTGCTATATCGAATATTACGAAAAATGAAAAATAGCGGCGCATTATGGATATATTAATTAAATGGAGAATTAAAATCGCAATTAATTTCGTAACTTTATTAATTAATAATCTAATGCACATACGTAACGGAACCCAATTTCTGCACATGTGCATATGTGCATCCATAGCGTCGCCTCAAGTACAGTAGCGCCCTTATAAGGCGGATGGCTTCGCGAGAGGTGGGTCGTTCCCACCTTAGACCTACAAAGAGACACATGTGCATGACACATCGACTGGGCGCGGGCATGACACATCGACCGACGCTGCAATCGTGCGCGATCGTGCACGTGAACGCCTAATGTACGTGTACGAAATTGCGACCCCGCGAAAAGACGATTCATTCTTTCCGTCCTTACCAGATCTCACGAGTCTTTACGTGGACCAATCAACTCCAGGCTTCCTTTTTTACCATCACGGAATCGAGAGCGTGGCTGAAAGAAAGGCACGTTTCTATTTTTCGCCGTCTTCGTCCGGTGAGTATTTTGAATATGAAAGAACGTGCATTTTTGTGCATCGTTGAGTTTCTTAGAATATCCTAATTTTTGTCAGAGTATTTTTTTTACGTTTGTCACTCAATTTTTTTTAAGCTTCGACTTTGCTTGTTAAAATCGGAGTTCCTCGTAAGATATTAAATTCGTTAAAGAAATTCAATTTGTTTGTTCATTAAATAATTGTTATAATATTTCTTACGAATACTTCTATTATAATTATACCATTCCATTTAAATGTCTAAATACTTATATCGTACCCAATATTTAGTATCATAATAGCTTAACAGATACAGGGAACGGACACCCGTATTTAGTCAACCCACACCCATTGTTCTCCTTTCTTGTTTTCCTTCCGCCCTTAGATCGCGTGGGTTCGACGGAAGTGAAGTAGAAGGAATAAGAGACGAAAGGTATCTTTGCGAAAACACATAGAGATCGTTATTTATTTCCCATTACTTGGAGGTATTGTAAAAATTGATGAAAAAGTTGCGTCTAATAAAAGTTTCCTTCGCGAAAAATTTCCCGTAAACGTAAAAAAAAAGACATAAAGCGCGAAGAAAAAACTTGGAGGAACAAATGTAGAAATATTCCTTCATAATAATTTTTTCAAGTCCAAAACTCGCAGAAAGTTTCAAGAGTTCAAAAGTTGCAAGTTTATTTAAGTTTGCGGAAATTGCTACTTCCGGCGATTCGCGAGGACGAGCCGAGAAAGATTGATTCGGTCTGCTTTTCGATTAGACAAAATATTCGCACTCTTTAAAACGGGAACTTCCGCGAATCCCCGTCGGGAGTTCCCGAAGTAGGTCGTCGTTTCAGCATCATTACGGTGGGAACTTCTGCCTTCTCGTCGCTCTGGCACGAGAAAGAGAGACCTTCGACCTTCCTGTAGGTGGTGACCTTTTCTGTGCGCACAGCCTTGGTTCCGATTGGTCCCGCGCTGAGCAAAGTTTGGATCGACAGAGTCCGTGGAACTTCCGGTGACCATTACTCACGACGAAAACTTTAGCTTCCAGATTATTACCGCGCTCACGTGCATATTACTTGGCTTCGCGTCGAAATATAATACATGAAGACATTGTCCAGCGAGGTAAGGAAATAGACGACAGTGTAACGAAAGAGAATTGAACAAGTCAATGTAAGCCGATCAATTGTCGAGCAATTTGTCAAATACGCACATCGCAGTGACCGTCGACCATCGCGCGCGACCACGAGGAGGATTTCGAAATCAATATACTCTGTCAATATCGCTGAACTTTGTTTCGTTTGATTACGAACACGTGGCAAGAGAAAAAAAATATCGCTCGAGATTCTTGTGTGTAAAGATCACTTGTTTTTTTTTTGAGATCTTTAACCCGCGCGACCCGAAACTAGATACATAAAACGACGCACTCGCGCATCTGTTATAAACATATGGCCGATTTACGTAACGACGTGCGTACATGCGTCGTTCGTATGTACGTACATGTAATGTTAAACGATCACTGCAACGGCGAAGGAGAGAAAGAGGAAACCCATTTGACGTAAAACGCAATAATTAAATTTTTATACCGTACTCAATATTTATTGTCACTGTTACGATATGACAATAAAATTATTACGACAGTGTTTGCAAAAGTGCTTTAAAGAACTCTCTAAAGAACATTTTATCTTCTAACGTTATGTCTCGTAATATTTGAAATTCAATCGACCCATAGTTTCGGATAATATACTTTTTTTCTTTATATTACGTGAGAATGCTTTGTATTATACAATATTTTGTCATATTATTATATGCTTTTTATAATTATTTAATTTAAGATATATTTCTGTTACGTTTAAATAAAATTTTATAAGTCAGATTACGTCTTAAGATTATCTTGGACCATTGGAATACAGATATCGATATCTCCACAAAGATATATTGATTATTGATTCCGCAGTATTATGCATAATAATAGAGCCTTCTCTCAATTTTGCCTGTCTCATTAAAGACGAAATTGCCGTATCGAAGTCCCCTCATCGAACTGCTTTGATAAAATGAAATTATTTAAATACTGCGACAAACGTCGTTGGATTTTAATTAAAGCTCTTGTCTAACTACAACGATTTATTCATCACTGCCTGTCCTCTCGATACAACTCGCGTTCTTTTAATATTCATTTCTTCTCAATATTCAAAATATTCGACGTTCTTCGTCCTATAATTTTTAACAATTCTGATGCTACTTCACCTGGGAATTTGACGGAAGGCTGTGACTGGCAGCCTGATGTATTGTTCGGGATTTATTGTTGAAAAACGCATCCTCCGAATATCGGAGGCGGCCGGTGCTAATGAAATACTAATTAAGGTCACGCGGCACAAAAGTCCCGAACAATTCTCAGCGACTAATCACTAATCGATAATCATTCATCGATGCTCTAGTGGGGAGATATTATCCGATTGATAGCTATTCAGGGACGAAGAGCCAGCCAACATCGCCAATGGTTCGACGAGCGCGCGCGCGCGCAGGCATCGATTATTAATTGGGGATTATACGCGAAAAATTTTGCGTGTGAGACTTCTCGAAACGGGGCAGCGATGGAGAGCGACGAGAGCGGAGAGAGAACCCATACCACCTCTTTCTCTTCCTCCCGTCCGGGCGCCGACACACAGTTTCGAGATGCTTCAAAACTGCCGCGCGGTTGCTCTCGAGATCGTTTGTCTTTCGTGAAAATCCTCTTTTATCCTTTGTCTCTTTGTAAGCATCCCGCATCAAAATTTCGTCTCTATAATATCTATGAACGATCCACAAGAACGAATGGTAATGACGTTTCGCCGCGGTTTTTCTACTTTTAGCACATTCGTTATCTGCGGTTTCTAGAAATTTTCACAATTAACTTTAAAGTAAAATCGAATGATTTGAGATTAAAAATGCTAAAACAAAGCGGATGAAAATTATATAAGACTAAAATCGACTATGAATCTGCGTGCTGTCGAATTAAGTTGCACAGATCTATGTTCTCTCTCTCATAAAAGATATTTTCCGTTGACCGACGCGTGACCAGCGAGTTTATCGTGCGCGCTCCCTTGCACGTGCGTTTACATTTTCAATCTGAGAACTGTGGGAGATAATGTTTCAATTAAAATCTGATAGGTCACCGCAATTAGCGCTGACGCTGCCGCAGCGCATGATAATCGCGTGAGACGAACGGAGCACGTAGTTTCGGGGGCGACGACGTGCACGGCCGGGAGCGCGGTCGCTTGATGCGGAGAAATTGCTTCCCCCCTCCCTCCCCCTCACCCGCGACTAGCAGACGATAAATATCCGCGCCGTTTCTCGTTGTTATTCATTACGGCGATCTTATTATCCGTTCTTTATGGTCCATTTCTTCGGAGCATAAGGTGAAGCGTTTTACAACGGACGACGCGCGTGTATCACGGACGATGTTTATAACGACGTTTCCGCCGCCGAGGCGTTACCCACCGCTTGCTTGGCGCAATTTGGCGAACGTGTTCTCCGGTCTTATCGTCGCTAAATGCCGAAATTAGAATACCCAAGATTGGTATCTTAGCAAGAAAGCTTCCAACGTGGAAAATGACTTTTTTTTTTAGAAAACTATAACAGGACAGTTCATGGAAATGAGAGAAGTTTCATAAAAGTATCGGTAGCCGATATTTATGAATTAAAAAATATTTATTTATTTATTTTTTAACCTTTCATATAGATATTATGAAGAGAGTATTCGAAACGAGAGACAACGTTCATATAACTTCTCATTCCACATATTAGATATCGTCCAAATAAGAACAGAGTCCTGAATTAAAGGAAATTTATGGCTCGCGTCACGAAAACCGATTCCGTCATAGCAGTAAAAAAAAGATTGTAAGACAAATGGGAGAGGCTTTGAGTGCGTCATTTGAAGAGTCTCTGGGAGGGAGACGGTTACCCCAGTTTCGTTCACAAATACTATATTTAATTGTGGAGAAACCGTTTAACGCAATAGAGGTACCTATACATCGTCCAACCTTTGGCAAACCAAAGGCAATGACACGTAACCGTATTTAAAATATCGGAGTATACTGCGCCGTGGATATCGAGAGAATTCGATTTTGGATTGGAAAGAGAAGGAAGGGAGAAACGACACTGATTGTGAGACTGACGAGGAGAGAAAGGGAGGCTCGCGATTCCGCGATTGAATTGCTGCGAGGACGTCGATAATTCTCCTTTCTGTCTATTTTATCTCTGTTCTGCTTTTACGCAGAAACGCAATGTCCCGTGAAAAAAAAAAAAAAATAAAGCGAACGGAGATATAGAATTACAGAATATCGCAGAAAGAGAGAGAGAGAGAAAGAGAAAGAGAGAGAGAGAGAGAGATTGAAGGGGAAGGATATTTACCTTCCTCAAGAAAAATCTAATCGAGAATAAAGTAGATTGCATCGCTATATATAATATTTCTTCAACTTTTTGCCTGTCCTCTCGCAATTTCTACAGAAATCAGCCTAAGAAAAAAAGTCATTATCCGGGGGAAGACCTTCTTTCAGCGAATTTCAGTTAATTAGACCAGACCATCTACTTTAATTAGATCCCTAAGATCAAAATTCGCTTAAACCTTCTCTCGACACATTTATCAATCAGGCAAAGAATCTATATTTTTAAAATGTCGTTTTCAAAATTGTATTCGATCAGATTTTTGAAACACGGCGAGACATTAATGTTACCTATGACATCGTGGGTGAAAAATGCATTGAATAAATAAATAATTAAAATCAAAGTTTCGAAATTTCGTTACAAGGTGTCGATGCAAAATCAGGATGCGCGCCAATGAAAATTTTCATGTTTTATTATTCGCGTGCGGGAAGCTCATAAATAAGCATGCTCCTCATAAATATTTATATCGGAGAAAAGAGAAACAAGAGCAGATCGGGCGCGCGTACCGACTTGACCCGCAGATTTTTGTGGATTAATTACGGGACACGGTGCCTGACTAAAAATCTCTTGTTCCACTGGTTGCAATTTTTCGGAACATTTGGACGATGAACCATTCGAGACGTATAATTAGAAATAGGCATTTTAATATCTTTCCTAAGTAAATTTAATACGTTCGAATTTTTTGAAAATAAAAGCTTGTCGCTAATATGCAACGATAATTCTTTTTTGCAATTTCAGGCGCAGGCGGACCCAAAAAAATCGACAAGATAACAGATACATCAAGCATGACGCGGCCAGCCAGTGTCAATATGCACACCGTCATATTAATCATCCGGACAACATCCGTTTCGGATTCGACCCCAAAGCGAATCTCTATCTGGCGATCAGCCAACATGCGTATGAAGGATCTACTTTGCGCGGAGGACGACCACGTGAGAATATCAAATGTCTGAATCAATATCTATATTTATTCTTTTTTTAATGTCATTTATTTTATAGATCGTATTACTTATTATATTTATTTAAAAAAATTAATGTATTTTTTATAAATTTTATTATATTATACGCAGTTATATATTGTATTAAAAATTCGATTAAATAATTTGATTATTTTAAGTAAAAAAAATAAGCAAGTATATATATATATATATATATATATATATATATATATAAACGCGGATAACGTTCGAAATACATATCAATGTATTATTAACTACAATAGAAATGTAAGATAAAAACAAGTTGAGTAGTAAGAAATAGCGTTCTCTCGAAAGCGCCGGCTACCGGAAATAAAATTTATCACGGCGGATTCTCAAGCAATGTACTCACGAGGCAGGGCACTTTTCCGCACCTGCGCGCTTGTAACGCGATTATATGAAACTTTTTCGACGATGATGTTTCGGGACGTGTTGGGAAAGGGTGTCAGGACTTCGCCGCGAATTCCGAGGCACGGTGTTACCCGCGAGAGCGAAACGGGCGAGAAAATGCGAAGAGGGACGCGTCTAAATACTCGAGTTTGGGCTATTAATCGTCAGTGTCCGTAATATCCGCTATACTTCACTCCCACGGGAGATCTCGAAAAGTTATTAATCTAATAAAACTAGATTTGACGGAGGAGGAGAACGTTACGGAGCGCATTTGTAAGTCTCTTTGAGGGTATCGACGTCAAGAATATCTGACACTTCCTTCTCGATGATGGATCGTTCTTCGCAGCTTCTTTAGATAACTGCCACTACAATTTCAAAGATGCATTTTTTAACAGTACTGACAATAAGTTATATGTACACGGGGTGTAAACCAAGAATGGAGTAATTCTGCATACAAAAATCATAAAATGTAAAATAAATTTTGTTACATTTTAATTATCGCGATGCTCGGGCTTAGCACATATATATGAACGCAGTTTAACTTATGTCAGTTATCTCGCAGCAAAGAGCCTGTAATGTTGATCGACATCGAGTAGGTCTATCGATGCACTACGTAATGGTATTACGGTGCCACTTTAATGTTGTTCGAGTGTGTAATCGTCGTCATGTGCCCCGACGTCCAATCGACAGGGTAAGCATTGGAAAAAGTCCCTCGTCCGTTTTCAAGATAAACGTCAGAACATATACAACATTTTTGTGCCCAAGTGCCAAAATGCTGTCACCCTGCGTCTCATATTGCGCGATTCTGATCGATACTCCCGTCCCGGTTTCTTTTCTTGTTTACAGGATTCCGAAAACTTCCATTGCAATAAGGACAAGTACAGTGCAACAAATAACGCGACAGCGTCATTTTCCTATGCGTTCATATGTAACCATACAAGCATTCAAGGGTTGTCAAAAAATTGATTGCGAATAATATTATATAAAAGAAATAAAACAAATTATATTATTTTTTTATAAAAACTTTACAGAAAATTTTCTTTAGAAAATATTATCAAAATTAATGCGAAATGTATAATATTAAAATTTCATTCTTAGAGACACGTTTCTCTCGTTTTAAGACATTCTGGAAAATCCACAATTTTAATTTTAATAACTTGAACTTCGCGAATAAGATTTAAATTTCGGCTTGAATGCAACGGGAAAGATGATGTCTAGAATTCTCTAACGAGAATAATAAAGGAGGGTCTCACGAAGAATGAAAAATTGCGAGTGTATCCATTGATATATAGTACAAGATTGTTATACGAGTATCGATCACGATACGCGAGGGAAACGATCAGATTTGGCAGGTGATACCCACTCCAAAGTTCTACTTCCGTCGTTTCTGTATCGAAATTACAGACGTTTCATCTCGAGGACGAGAGACAGGGTAGAAGAGGGGAGGGTGGAGATCTCTCCGCGTGGACTATTTACAGAAGAGCGTAGTCAGCGCGCTTCGGGTCACGTCAATCGAAATCAGACGCCGACGGAAGTGATGTCCAATGCCGTAACGCGTCACCACATTGCCGCGGATGACATGTTATTATATAATTACTGAACACTTAAGGCTTGGGCTTATCGCGCGCGTATGCGGGAAAGAAGGAGAAAGTGGAGCTTTAATCATTCGAGATTTTATTGCTTACCGAGGGTCGAGACGACGTTATACGCGCGCCACCCTATACGCGTGGTCCGCATACGCGGCGTGTGATCGATACGCGCCAAACTTCGACTGCAACTGCCCGATAATATTCGTCGAAAGTAGGGAGAGAAGACGGACGAGCTTGCGAAGAGGGTTGCCGAAATAATGACAAGTCTCACAACGATGTATTAAGCGAGATTACTTTCACCCGCTTTTATCCGCTTGCCGTGCGATAGAGAGTGGGTCGGGGAAGTCTTATATATACGAGAAAAAAGAATACATAAGGTAAAAAAATTTCAATATACATTTCACATTAATTTTAACAATTTGTTTTTGCAAAGAGACTAGTATATAAGTTTTCCTTTCATTCTTCCGTGTAACCCTTTGTTCAATTGTTCTTTTATTTTATTTTACGAGAAAATTTTTAGATTTTACGTACGCGGAATAATACAAAACAATGTAGAAGCTCTTAAAATGTTTCGTTATGGAACAAATTGTTAAAAATTTCATTGACACAAGTTTCGGAAATAGTTTCTAAAATATCATTTTTCAATGCAGAAAGTTAATTTGACTTAAATAAGAGCATTTCATATAGTAGAGGGTTAAAGTAATCGATTAACGACAAAAAATTAATTTGATTTAAATAGGAGCGTTCCACACGTAGGGATAAAGTGATCGATTAACGACAATCAAGGAGAAAAAATTCCGAATCCATCAGCTGATCGTTACGCTAAAAAAAAATCGCGCGCGTCCTTTTATTCTCTATAACGATTCTCAATTTTCCAAGGAGGAAAAAAACTGCTTTCGTAGCACTCTGCCAGACTGGTCTCAATTATCGCGAATAGAGCGATGATCTTCGACAAGAGTCCTGGACAGTGACAAACACTCTTCCAAGAAAAGCGAACGTGGCGTAACGAAGATTCCTGAACGTGTTTTTGGCTGCAAGACGAGCCAGGAAGTTAGAATGAAAGGACGAAGAGCGAGGCGATGGACTCAACCGCTCGAGACCGAGAGATTATCAGGGATGAAGCAGGATTAAGGGGAAAATCGGTGGACGGGTAAAGGCGCGCGACCGAGTAATCATTAAACTAAGTTTCCCGAAAGCGAAAACAATTCCTCGGGCCAGGTCAATCTCGTCCGCGCGAATAATCATAAACTGCGACGAGCCACTTCACTGTGCGCGATAAAGCCCGGAGAGTCATTTCTCAAAGAGACGACGCGACGACGACGGAGTCCCGGGACGATATTTGGAAATGAACGCGGGTGGAAATTTATTCTCGGCGGGGCGGAAAATTCGCGGTGGTGCCTGATGGTATCAGATTATGCCGATATCACAAGGTGGGTCGTCCGCATTACGATGGTTCACCCAACGCATTTCCAGATGCGATATATGGAAAAGTATAATTCAGAATGACGTAAAACTGAATTTTTTAAAAATATCGATGCATCTGTTTAAAAATGTTTAAGAAGGCGAGTAAGTTTTAAAATCCGGGTACTGTTACTAACAATTTTTATATTGAAGTAAATATAATATTATTAATATTCTCTCTGTTTTGTTAGAATATTAGAAAAACAAAATATTAGAAGGCTAAATTGACACTATGCAAGTCCGGCATTACATCTATAAATGCATATATTGATATTGAAGCCACATATGTGCCTTTTTCAGTTACTGTCCCTTGTAATTGCTTGATCGATCGAATGTCATTACATTACAAATATCCAAACACCCGCGCCGCAGTTTACTTATTGTTCGTTATTTTATATTTATAATTGAAATGTATATAAATGTATATAAATATGCAAAACACATAAATCAATAAAATCTAAATTTCATTATAAAAAGTTCATATCACTGATCGTACATTTCTTCGTCAATCATCTAAATTCGTTGATGAAAATTTCAACAAACTGATTACGAGCGATTTTTAAGGCTTTCTCTGTCTCTCCCTGTCTCTGCATATGCATATAAAAATGCAGATATATATCAATTAAAATTTCTGAACGAGTACAGATTTGCGCACACGTGGCTGAAACACACGGCGACGAAATAAACGGAGGTCGTAAATTCTGAATTCATCGCGTCGTTTCGGCAAACAAATTAACTTCGTCCTCGAAAAAACACGCCGCCCGCCAAAAATCGCCCGCCCATCGGCGTCTCGCCGCCGTCAAGTTTATGCGGCGTATATATCGTTTGCGCAAATTTCGCCGATGTTCGCGATTACCAAGCGCGTGATTTATTCGAGGGGGAGGATTTAAATTAATCCGTCAAAGTAGGCGGAAGTATCGCCCGATCGCAAATTCACAGAGCTAATCTGCACGACCACGGACCGGCCACGGTGCCTGCTGCACTTTCCCTAATTCAATTATCGGAGAATATAATACGATGCGAGAATTTGTAAGTGTCCAGTGTGTAATCTCTCATTAAGTATTAAAACCGCTTAATTTCATTTCTTTAAAAACAAAACAACTTCTCCTAAATCTTAGAATCTTTCACTATTTACGGTGTAATCTTGTTTAATTATAAAGCATTCTCTGCAAAATTAATCGTTTTACTGAAATATAAATTACATGTAGATAGTTTGCAAAATACATTGACAATTACGTTAAAAAAATAAACAAGCAATTTATATATATTAAATCACGTTTTTGAGGCTTTTAAAATTCGTCTCGTACACGGAAAGAACAATTTTATTGAATCCAGATCCTGAAAATAATTTTTGTTCAATAGTCAAAATTATTTTGTGCGAAAGTCAAAATGATTGGTAAAATATCAAAATGTCTTCTAGCAATACTTATCAGTTTTAACATTCCAACAAATTATTTTAATGATTCAATAAAAAATTATTTTCAGATCTGTTTTAGCAAAATTTTTAGGTCTTTCAACAAAATCGTTCTT